GTTTGGGGTAATGGGGAGGAGAAGATTACCTGTTTTCCACTGGCAGTGGGTTGGAGATACTGCAGGTAGTACTGGTAGGCAATTCCAGTGTGTGTATTGTGGGTAATGTGTGTTTCTCTGTGCTTTGGTTAGTGACACTGACAGTGGAAAGAGTTCATGGATGCATCTTGTGGTGTGTTTTAAACTCTCTTTACTTCTTCACCTTGCTTAAGGTATCTGGGTTTTTTGGTTTTGTTTTTTGGGTGGTTTTTTTTCCCCCCTGACACCAGTGTTGGATAAAAAACTCCTAGTTGTAACTTTCTCTTTCAGTATGAGTTGTCGCTTACCTTGCAGCTGAAATGACTGCAGTAAGATGTGGGACTATGTTAGGGGGTTTTTCCTGTTTATAAGGATTACCCACAGAAGACAGCAAAGTAGGCTTACTGGCAGAAGTTTAAAATTAGGACTGTTAGGAGACTGTAAAACTATGAGTCTCATGAGTAGTTCCTGTAGGCTGTAACAAGGGTGTGGCAAAGCTTCCTGCTTAAACATCTGAGTTGCTCTTCTGTTTAGTGAAGTTGCAGAGCAGCCAGCAATAACGATGTTTTGGATCCCCAGGAGTGAAACTGGAAGGACTGAGGAGAGCTTGATGTCTTTGGAAAGATAAAACACAATCTCCTTTGTCTTCTGGCTTAAGAATTTCGAGAATATGAAGGGCAGGCAGGAAAGACCTTGGTGTTCTGCATTGCTTGGCTGCTTTGGAGTTGACTGTTTTTGAAGTGCTGGACGGTGGACACAAGTTGAGATGTGCTGCAGTGCAGCTGGTGTCTGTGCAAGCAGTGGTAAAAACTCTTGCTGGTCTGCATTGCTCAGGGTTAAGCTGTCAGAGGTGATGCTGGAAAGGGATTTCTACCCTGCTATTGTCTTAAGAGTCATAGGGAAAATTTAGCCGTTAAGTTTCCTGCTCTTCAAGGACTTGAGTGGCAATGCTTTATCTTTTGGTTTGTTTGTTTTTTTTTTCTGGTAGGTGATGTTGCTGTCCTGGGGTGTCTGGAGTTTATTCTGATGATCCTAGGGAGCCCTGTGAGAATAGGATGATGTTTTGTGAACTCGTCTGAGGCCATGTGCTTTGCCTGATGGCCATGGGAAGGAGCCAGCCAGGCATGAATGTGATGCCTTCCCATCCTGTGCCAGCTAAAGTGAGGGTTCTGCCAGACTGGGAGGGAGCCAAGAATGGGGCTGCTGGTGTTGGTGTAGGCAGTTCTTGAGTTTCAAGCCCTGATGCTGTGCAAGTTGGTTTCCAGTTCACCTGGAAAGTGATTTATTGTCTGTGCTCCTTGTATGGATGTCCTGTCTTGAAGTCTTTCTGTGTCAGTACTTACGGTAGCTGTGGTGTTGGCATCTGTCTGGAAATCTCATCGTGTGCATCTCTGCCAGAGGCTATTTCACAAATCTTTATGTGCAAGAAAGAGGTGTTCAACAGTGCAACCTCAAGTAAGAGCAGAGATCAGTTGTTTCTCAGTGGCTTCAATTATACTGGATGCAATATCCTTGGCTGAACCTTCTGAAGGCTTTTTTTAACAGGCTTAGTTTAACTTTACAAGTCTGTGTTTGAGGACTGGAAGCAGGTGACAGCACTGAAGCACTTGATATCACTGAGAGGCCTCTGTAGCTTGGCTGACCTCAGTAGTGCTAGCAGTAAACCAGTAAGAATTAAAGGCTCCCTTGGAAGTCTAAAGGCTTCTACCCCAGGTTGTTGGCAAGTCTGTGCCACATACAGAGGCCTGGGAAGTCCAGCTTTCTGTCTGCTGTAAGCACTTCATTGTGTAGTTAATACCCTGTCGCTTGTTTTTGCTAATGCTGGCTACAAAATACAGTACTCCACCTGTATCGAGTACATATAGCACACTGTACCTTCAGATGGAGGCTGCTAAGGATTCATCCACCTTCAGAGGGGACTTGAGGAGGTGGCAGTGTGTTTATATATATATCAGTCACTTTATGGGCACTTTTCTCAGCACTTCACCCTCATCAAAGACTTGCTTGCTGTATCCTCTGTGTCCCTACCTTCTCCCCTAACAGCATCCTTCCTAGCCAGCAGCCAAAGTAAATGCTTGCCTGCTTTCAGGTCCTTCAGAAGAAAGTGGAACAGCAGACAGGGGTTGGAAGAAAAAGAGAGTTGGAGTGAGGAGGAGGAGCTTTTCCCAGGTGCCGGTAAGAACAGAGCCCCTCCTGTGGGTGTTAATTGATGCTAATCCTGGCTGTGGGGCTCATTTATAGGTTTCTTGCTACCTTCTGTGTGACTGAATTTTGAAACCAGAAACCCTAAAACCCAGAAAAATGGGTAACTGTCCAGGTCTTTGTATATCTGCCTTGAAATGTGTGCCAAAGCCACCTGTTCCGGTCTCAGATAAATCATGCTTAGCTTAAAGAATGTGAACATCAGAAATATAGCTTTTTTTCCCTGTTCCTACTTTAGTGCCATGAAATAAAGGTTCAGTTTACGTTTTCAGTCAGATCAATTGTCCAGTCCTTTTTCCAGCTAGATATGTAGCTTAACTGGTGAAAAGGAGTGGATAATGGGTGTCTAATTCCAGCTTCAGTGTACAGTCTAGCCACATCCTGGATGGATGCACCTGTTCTGGCTAGTTTAAAACAAATCAGATCCTATTGGAAAGCTTTCACATGAAACAGCTGGGGCTGCAGAAAAGGGAAGGATAAAGGAGTTTGGTTTGTCTGTCATGGGGTACTCTCATTGTAGGCTCTGTATTTCAGCAGTTAAGCTCAAGGCAGTCTGTCAAGGAAGTCTCTACCTCTTGAGTTAAGGTGAAATGTAACCCTGTTGCCTTGTTTTTCAGCATCATTTGAGACAGCCAGCTATAACAGTACAGTCTTCAGTTCCAAGAAACAGGTAATGTGGAGCCCTTAAGTCCTTTCAGCAAGGCCTGAGATCATGATATATCTGCAGAGAAGAGCGAAATGCCAATCTGAAATACACTGCTGGGGGTTGCTGCTCAGACTGCTTCCTCAGCAGCCTGCAGTTCACTACAGCAGGGTGAGCTGCTGTCATGCTTTCAGTGAGGAGGCTGGATTGGAAAGTGCTTCCTCAGGCTGGTGCTTGTGGTATGCAGGCGTCATCCAAGTTGTGCAGGCCTTTGCATTTGCAGAGGTGCGTGGACTTTCCCTGTTAAAACAGCCCAGTTTGGTAGCTGGTAAGGCTGTGTGCTGGGCACTGGATATGTGCATGAAGTCCTTTTTCTTCGATGCATGTGGTTCAGAGCTGGGTTTGCTGGGTTCCCTCCATGCTGGAGAGGTTCATCATCTTGGTTGCGTGAAGGACACACGTACAGCAGCTGTTGCTGGGGAAGAGGTCCCCATTTTGCTGCTGGGAACTCTCAGCCTGGCTTGTAGGAGAGCTGCTGGCTCATGTGCTGCTGTACACCACGTAGCACTCTGCTGGAGCTGAGCACTTCTGTTATTCATAACGGGTACGAGAACACATCCACAGAGGAGTGATTGAGTGTTGCGTGTGCTGTTGACAGGACATCTGTGCCTTTCCTGCATGTTACTAGCACAGATGGTAAAGGGGAGCTAACACACACGGGAAGAGTTACCATGTGGTTCTCTGCTAGTGGCACTCTGATGCTGCACTTTGTACTCACAGGACACTGCTTACATGCTCTTTTGTAGAAATGGACAGTGGAAGAGAGCGAGTGGATCAAAGAAGGCGTGCGGAAGTTTGGAGAAGGGAGATGGAAGGCAATTTTCCAGAAATACCCCTTCCAGAACCGCACAGCAGTGATGATCAAGGATCGCTGGCGGACCATGAAAAAACTGGGAATCCTCTAAAGCTGGCAGCCACAGGACCTCCAGTGCACAAACCTTTTTCTTTGCAAAGACCGACTGGAGCGTCACAGCATGGGTGCCTGCCTCTGATGTGTGTGTGTCAGGACCCCTGTGGCTAGTGGCACCTGAGACTGATGTAGCAGACAGAAATCATGTGACAAGAACCAAGGAGCCTTGAGCTCTAGCTGCAGGTTTTAGTTTTTGTGCAGGCTTGATAGCACATGATTGGAAATGGCCTGGATTGGGACTTTCTTCTGACAACTGCAACCTTTGTTGAATGAATCCCAGCTGTAGTGAGTTTTGTCTGCTCAGATGCTGTCAAATAGCAGGGTAGTCCCCTCACATCCTATTTTTCTGTTGTCTAAACTGTCACTTGTTTCATCCATTTGTGCTCAGTTCTCTGTGGGTGGGAGGTAACGTGTAGCCCCACAGCTTACAGGGAGGAGATTGAGACAAATAGATCTTTCATTCTTCACATTTCTTTTTTTTTTTAGCAGCAGCGAGCCTAGGAGTGAGAATTTTTCCCTCACAGCTTTGAGGCTTTAAAAAATATAATTTTGTGTATCTTAGGATTTAACTGTTGGTTGTTCCTATATTAAAAGTTGGGCCATATCTTACTGACACTTCTTGCTGGTATGCAATCCCTGCAAGCGTATGGGTGCCCAGGGCATTGCATATCCAGCAGCCGAAGCCAGAGCTCATGTACTACCAGTCTTCCATAAATAAAGTTTGTGTTTTCTTGGCCGGCTTGAGTTGTAAGTGTGAGCTTGTACCATATGGGTGGAAATGTGGCAGTTGGGGCAGGCAGCACGTCAGGAACATGGGGCTTTCCCTTTGCCTCCTGAGCTGTTGTGTCAGCCGCTGTTTGGGGTAGAACAGTGATGCCCAGAGGTGCTGCATAGGGCAGAAGCGTCTGGACGAGGTTTCTGCTGAAGTCAAAGGCTGAGGAGCCACGGCAGTATTTGCTAGAAGCAGCCTCTCCCAGCAGCATTCCTGCAGAGTTGGGGCTGGGAGAAGCCTGTCTGGAAACACCTGCTTCTCTTCTGTCCTTCAGCAGGAGCTGCTGGACTGAGCCTGCCCCAGCACCTGGCTGTGGCTGTGTGTTTCCCCCTGCCGCCTGCTTGTAAAACTGTTCCCTGGGGCCAGAGCAGCCGTGGGTGGGACACCCTGCACTTGCAGAGGCTTGATGTGAGCCACAAGCTGGACCAGTAATTGCTGTTGTGAGGCAATGCCCATTGGTTGTGCCCAGTTGGAGAAGATGGATTCACCCATACTTCCCTTCTCTGCACCAGGCTCTTGTCCTTGGCTATGCAGGGAGGCTGTTGCAGCCAAGGCAGGGAGGAGCCAGGGAGGAAGGACATCCCCCCACAAACCCACTTTATGCCTGTGTGTGTTTTCTGGTGGTAAAACACTTTTCCTGCTTAATTTCCTTGTTCACAGGATACAGACTGGTGGAGCGTTGGTCAGTGAGGAGCAGGGCTAGCTGGGGACTGGCTCAGTGTTGCTGGTGACTGTGGAGCTTCTTCACAACAGCCTCTGCAGAGGGTTCATCTGGGTGAGCTCTAATGTGGGTGAACTGGATAAGCCCCTGCTCTTCCCCAAGATCATCTCAAGGGTGCTTCATTCCCCCGACTCCAGCCCTGGCCCTGCCAAGGTGCCACTCTGAGGAAGTTAATGATTATCCCTGACACCTCCAGTCCCCGCTCCTGCCCTGGCTGGAGGGAATGCAGAAGGCTGGGAAGCAGGATGCTGCTGCTGGTGTTCCTGGCTCTGCTGGGCTCCGCTGGCTGCCCCAGGACTGAGCCCCTCAGCACATCCAGCCAGGACCCGCTATTCCATGGGGCAGATCGCTATGACTTTGCCATCATCATTGCCGCCGGCACCATGGAATGCTTCTGGCAGTTTGCACACCAGAATGGGAACTTCTTCTTCAACTACGAGGTAAGTTTTGGAGGTGCATCCCAGGAAGGTGTGCAGCTGCTGATGAGGTCAGTGAATGGCTATGCTGGCTTAGTCCAGTGCTGCAGCTCCACAGGCAGTGCTAGCCACTGCCTCCTCCGAGGGCACTGCAGGTCCTGCAGTGGGAGTTCCATCACCATGGGCCTAGAACCAGGCTTATGTGCAGAAGGGCAACTGAGGCTGAACTCCAAATCCACCAGCCCCAGGACGGAGGGGGTTTGCCTTGCATGGGGAAGATCCTGAGTTGAGACAGGAGTGGTTTCAGTCGCTTGGGTATTCCACCTCAGGGACTGTACTTTTTTTAGGCAATTTCTGTCATGAATCACATTTCTTTTTTTTTAAATACCTGTTTTAAAGGAGTAGTGAGAGCTCTGGATGTGGTGACTGAGCATGCAGAGAGCTGCAGGGTGTCCTGGCATTGGGGGAGTTCTGCCATTTGCTGGGCTGGCTGAAGGCTGCTGCACGGCCCTTGTCTCTCTGAGCTGCAGCTGGGAGGCACGACAAAGGTCTCAGGCACAGCCCTATGTACTTGTCCTCGTGCTCTGTTCCCTTCCCGAAGGGAAAACGACAGCCTTTTATCACCTGTTTACACTAGGCTGGTTGAAGGAGAGCAAGAGCATGGCCATGCCCAGCAGTGACAGCTTCCCCCTGGCTCTGACCTCAGCAAAGCAGCCCCACAAAAGAATGGCACAGCCCTGGGGCTCAGCACAACTCCATCTCCCACCACTGCAGCCGTGCCAGGAGCACCCCATCCAGGCAGCAGGGAGATGGAATAGGTACAGGGGGGAGGAGACACGGGGTGTGTTCAGGACCCTGCAGCACCATGAGCGGGCACTGGGAGCCTTGCTGTTTATCATCCAGAGCTGTGGGGTTTGGGGTTCTTTTACATGTCACTGGAGGCTGTTCCTGGCCCCAGCTCACAGCAATGGAGGGGGCAGCTCCCCATGGACCCCAAAACAACCCTCAGTAGAGGCTGGACCACACTGGGCCCCTGCCCTGCACAGGAGGGCTCCTATGGGCTCCTGTCTGTTCCCTGAGCTCAGAATCAGGCTCATGAATGCCGCTTGGGTGTTTTCTGCCTCCAGGTCCAGCGTGCAACAGGGATCGGCAACAGCAGGAACATCCTGGTCACAGCGAGCGACCCCAGTGGCTTCCAGCTTGGTGCTTCCCAGCATGTGCGGGGACAAATCAACTTCCTCACCAAGGAGAAAGGTCCTCGCTGCCCTGGTCCTTCCCAGGCAGCCAGCATTTCCCAGGGGCGTTATGAGTCTGATCACATCTCCCTCCTCAGGGGAGGATGAGGGTCAAGCACTGGGGATGGGTTTGCCTGGCAGTGGCTCTTCTGCTCAGGGAACAACAATCCCCATTTCTCTCCACAGGTTTCTACCAGCTGTGCCTGAACAACCAGCAAAACCACTTGGGCTTCATGCAGGTGTATCTCAACTTTGGTGTCTACTACAATGCCTTCGACACAGACAACAAGCAGCCAGAAGAGCGGAAAGAGCTGAATGACACCCTGGAGGCAATTGGGGTGAGTGTGAAGGTGACCACAGTGCTCCAATGCCGCGGGGATGGGCAGGTTCTCCCGAGGGAACCAAGAAGGGCGCTTGCTGTTGGCTGAGCTGCAGCTTTAAGTTAATGCTGAGCACAGGGAGAGCTCCAAGAGCAGCTCTTCCAGCCCCAGGCTCTGCTGCAGCCCAGCTGCTCAGCACCCACCTCTCCTGCAGGTCAGCACCCAGAAACTGCAGCTCCACATCTTCCACATGTGGCGGTTCTACAACTTTGCCCGGATGCGGAAAACATCCGATTCCTTCCTCCTGGAGTCCAACTACAACTACGTCAACTGGTGGTCGATGGCTCAGAGCTGTGCCATTGTCCTCTCCGGGGTGCTGCAGCTCTACTTCCTCAAGCGCCTCTTCAATGTGCAAGCCCCCAGCAGGCAGAAGTGCTAGTAATGTCCAACAGTGTGGGAAGGACCAGTGCCTTCAGCGCTTGGTGACAGCGCTAACAGCTAATTCTGACCCTTCACAGAGAGGGAGGAAAGGCCGGATCCTGTTTTGAGGAAGGGGAGCTCCCCTGCCCCTCCCTTGGCTGAAATCACCCCAACAGAAGAAAAGCACAACACTGGACTTTGTGTGCTAGGTCAGTTTATTACCTCCCTACCCATCATTATGGTGTCCTATAATGTCTTTTCTACCAGGCACTTAATAAAGAACCCCTGGCACCCAATCTGGGGCGTGATAGCAGCCTTCTGTCCACCCTCTGCAAGCCTGCACAAAGCAAGTCCTGCCTTGCAGGCAGCTGCCTGCCCTCTCCTTCTCTCTCCTCAGCTCAGTGGTCAGCCTGTTCACCCAGCCCTAGGCTGTGTGCCTCTCCCAGTCTCTTCTACAGAACTACACGTGCAGTTTCTCCCCTCTGCTGCCTCACCCCAGTGCATCATGCTGCCTAAGGAAGGCAGGGGTATGTACCACAGACAAAGGCTGATCGCCTCTGAGACATTGCCCTAAACAACAGGCACCTTAGAAAAAGGAACAGGCTTTATTTGAGAGCAGGGGCAGGTGCCTGCGGAGCAGCTCCTCACTTAGGTAGCAGCTCCCCCAGAGTATGCAGCTGTGTGCTGGTGGCTCCCAGCCCTATCACACCAGAGCATACCCCAGAAGCAGAGTGGGCTCCCTGTGACACTGCTGCACTGACACTGTCCTGCACTGGCCAGGAACACTTGAGTCTTTGGAGCGCCGGAGTCCTCTTACATGAGGGTGTCCTCGTTCCGCACGTACTCCCCAACATCAGCCTGGTGGAACACCACGATGGCCATGGGATCCACCTTCCGGCACTCCTGCGTGGACTTGGCAGCCACCCCAAAGCCCTGAATGAACAGGAGATAAGAGTTTACCCCCCAACCCTGTACTCCCGCCCTGGGAAGCACGGGGTCCGCACCAGCCACTCACCAGTGGGACGTCAGCCATGGAGTACACCACCACTCCCTGGTACTGAGCTGTGTTCTCTGTGATGCGGCCCAGGCCCGACTTCAGGACGTGGTTGCCGTAAAGAAAAGACTGCTCCGAGCCCGGCTTCACCCACACCTTGAACTGCAAGAGAGACACAGCACGATGAAGGGCTGGGGGATGTCGGGGGCCGGGGGCTGCCGAGGGCCGGTTCCCACCTTGGCGTAGGGCGCGAGGAAGTCCAGAGCCGTGACACTGAGCCGGAACTTCTGCGTCTTGGTGAACTTCCCGAAGCAGGTGCCCAGCGCCGTCAGGCTCTCCCGGGGGATGCTCGCCGCCACCTTCAGCAGCTTCTCGCTGCGGGGATCGAGAACAGAGCTGGAGCAGCTCCGGGGTAGCACCCGCTGCCCGGCGCCCCGCTGCCGGCCCTCGCCTCACCTCACGTAGTAGACGCGGTCGCGGTGCAGGCGGAAGCAGTAGGTGCCATCGGGCCGGTCCACCAGCAGCTGGATGTTCTCACCGATGCTGCGGGGACACACGCCGTGAGGCCCACCCGGTCCCCCCGCCACCCCCTCCCGCCTCCCACCCCCCCCGGTGCCCCCGGCCCCTCACTATCGCCCCAGCTTCTCGAACACCGTCCGCGTCTCCGCCTCCGTCAGCGGCCGCATCGCCCCACGCCGCACACGCAGGACCCCACCGGAGCCACCGGAACGGGAAATGAGCGTCGGAACAGGAAGTGCCGGGCCGGAAGTGGCGCGGCGCCCCGTTGGAGCGGCGCGATGGCGGCGGCGGCGGAGGAGGCGCGGCTGCTGGCCTGGCTGCGCGGCCCCGCGGCGCCCGGTGGGCCCGAGCTCGCGGCTTACGTGTCCGAGCTGGCGGCGCTGGGGCTGGCGGAGCTGGGCCGGGAGCCGGCGCGGCTGGCGGCGGAGCGGGCGCGGGTCGGGGCGGAGACCCGCCGCTTGGCCTTCGAGCACTACCGCGCCTTCATCCGTTCCGCCGAGTGCACCGGCCGCGCCGGACACGGCTTCGGCGGCATCGAGAGCCGCCTCGGGAGCCTGCTGGAGCGCCTGCCCGCGCTGCAGGACGCCTGCCGGTGCGGGAACGGGCACCGGGGGGGAGCCCGCCGGGGACTCGGGGACACCGGGGGTGGCGGGGAGCGGAGCGGTGAGGGCACGGGGGGAGATGGAGGGAGGCTGGGACAGGGTCTGACGGAGCACAGGCAGCCATGGGGCAGTGGAGGGCTGGGCTGGGGAGTGAGAGGGAGGTGGTGCTGAGCTGGGAAGGATGGGACTGAGGGGAAATAATGGAGGGTGTGAGGGTCCCGGGGTTTACCTGCTGCAGGGGAGAGCCTCGTGCTGATCCCACCCTGATCCCGCAGGAATTTCATGCGTGATGCCGAGGAGATCGCCTGCAGCCGGCGCATGAACAGCCTGACGCTGAACCGGCACACGGAGATTCTGGAGATCCTGGAGATACCGCAGCTCATGGACACCTGCGTCCGCAACGGCTACTACGAGGAGGCGCTGGAGCTCGCTGCCTACGTGCGACGGCTGGAGAGGAAGCACAGCACCATTCCTGTGATCCAGGTAGGATCTGCTCTGCCCCTGCCTTGTGCCACCCTGCACCCAGCTCCTGTGGCTGAGGTCTCTGTCCCACCCCAGGGCATTGTGGAGGAAGTGCGCCAGTGCACCCAGCTGATGCTGAACCAGCTCATCCAGCAGCTCCGCACCAACATCCAGCTTCCAGCCTGTCTGCGGGTCATAGGCTACCTGCGCCGCATGGATGTCTTCACGGAGGCTGAGCTGCGCATCAAGTTCTTGCAGGCACGGGATGCGTGGCTGCGTTCCATCCAGGCCTCCATCCCCGACGACGACCCCTACTTCCACATCACCAAGACCATCGAAGCCTGTCGCGTCCACCTTTTCGACATCATCACCCAGTATCGCGCCATCTTCTCCGATGAGGAGCCGCTCCTGCCCGCCGAGGGTCAGGCCCTCAACGAGGGGGCCATCTTCCACAGCTGGGTGCTGCAGAAGGTGTCCGAGTTCCTGCGGACGCTGGAGCGCGACCTGCGGCGTGGGGTGGGCGGCCGCCTGGACTCGCTGCTAGGGCAGTGCATGTATTTTGGCCTCTCCTTCAGCCGGGTAGGGGCCGATTTCCGTGGGCAGCTGGCCCCCCTCTTCCAGCATGTGGCCACCAGCGCTTTCAGGAAGGCGGTGGAAGAGGCAGTGGAGAAGTTCCAGGAAGAGATGAATTCCTACACTCTCATCTCTACGCCAGCAGTGTTGGGGGGCAGCGCGGGGGTCCCGGTGCCCATGGCCCAGCCAGGGACGCTGCAGCCTCCCATGGTGCTGCTGGACTTCCCACCCCTCGCTTGCTTCCTCAACAGCCTCCTCGTCGCTTTCAATGACCTGAGGCTCTGCTGCCCCATCGCCCTGGCACAGGATGTCACCACCTGCCTGGAGGATGCGCTTGGTCAGGTGAGGTGCCAGGGGACAGAGCTGTGCCTTGTCCCAGGAGGACATGGGGGCAGGCTTGTCCTGCTCTGAGTACTGGAAGGATGGAATCATAGACTCATTTAGGTTAGAAAAAACTTTTTAAGATCAACAAGGCCAAGTGTTAGCTTGGTAACCGCCAAACCACCGCTAAACATGTCCCTAAGTGCCGTGTATCCGTGTCCTGGTGACTCCACAACTTCCTTGGGCAGCCTGTTCCAGTGCTTGACAACCCTTTTGGGAAAGAGATTGTTCCTAATCTCCAGTCCAAACCTCACCTGACACAGCTTGAGGCTGTTTCCTCTTGTCCCATCACTTGTTACTTGGGAGAAGAGACCGACTCCACCTCACTACATCTTTCTGTCAGGCAACTGTAGGGAGCAATGAGGTCCTCCCTGAGTCTTTTTTCCAGACTGACCCCCCCCAGGTCCCTCAGCCATTCCCCATCACACTTGTGCACCAGGCCCTGCACCAGCTCTGGTGCCCTTTTCTGGCCCTGCTCCACACCTCAATGTTGCTCTTGTAGTGAGGGGCCCAGAACTGAGCACAGGATTTGAGGTGAAGCTTCACTGGTCCCCAGTGTAGGGGAACAGTCACTTCACTGGCTCTGCTGCCACGGTGTTGCTGATACAGGCCAGGATGCTCTTGTCCACTTCCACGCAAGCTGGCTCACGTTCAACTGCTGTTGACCAACACCCCCAGGTTATTTCTGTGGGCGGCTTTCCAGTCACTTTTCCCCGCAGCTGGAGCATTGCATGGGGTGGTTGTGGGCCAAATGCCGGACCTGGCACTGAGCCCTATTGAACCTCGTACAATTGGGTGGGAAAGGAGCGTCCATTTTACGTGCGGGGTTGTCTGTGGGGAGTATTGACAACTCTGCTTTCCACCCCAGGTGACTAAAACCATCCTGGCCTTCCACCGTGCGGAGGAGGCAGCTTTCAGCGGGCGGGAGCAGGAGCTCTTTGCCCAGTTCTGCACGGCTTTCCTGGATGACCTGCTGCCCTACCTGAACCGTTGCCTGCAGGTCCTCTTCCCGCCAGCACAGATCGCACAAGCACTGGGTGAGATCCCGGGGGGTTGTGTCTAGTGGGGGGCCTCATTGCCCCCTAGTTCTGCTGGTCCCGGCTCTGTGGGGCTTCCCTTTGCCCACAGGCTCCCACCAGCCCCCCTTTCCCTCTCTGGCAGGTGTCCCCCCGACCCAGCTGCAGCGCTTCGGCCACCTGGGCCGCATCAACGTGGTCGCTCTGAGGGACTCGCTGGCTTCCCTGCTGCCGGCTCCACCAGATGAGGAGGAGCCTCTGCGCCCGAAGGAAGAAGAGGAGGCCGAGTCCCTGCCCACACCCCTGCCTGCACACGGGCAGGAGGGGTCCCCCGAAGGGGCTCCGCTGCCGACAGCGACCGCGGAGTAGCGGGGCTGGGGCTGGGGCTGGGCCGCGTCACCCCGTCACATCCTTCGGTCCTCCCCGCCGGCAGGGGTCGCCGTCTCCGCCCGTCGTGCCCGGCGGGGTTTGCGCATGGCGGCGGCGCTGGCAGCGGGGCGGCGCGGGGCGGCGCGGGCGGTGTTGGGGCCCGGTGCGGGGCGCGGGTGCGGGGACGCCGCGGGCTGGGCCCAGCGGGAGCGCTCGTACTGGCGGGCGCTGCGGCGGAGGGTGCTGGGCCCGCCCGCGCCGCCCTTCGCCGCCCCCTGCCAGGTGGGAGCCCCGGTGCTGCGCGCGGCCGCCGCCGCCGTGGCCCCGGAGCTGCTGGGCGGCGCCGAGCTGCGGGAGCTGGCGGCGGCGCTGGCGGCCGGGCTGCGGCGCGGGCCGTGCCTGGGGCTGAGCGCCCCGCAGCTCGGTGTGCCGCTGCGGGTGTTCGCTGCCGAGCTGCCCCCCGCCCTCTGCCAGCGGTACCCGGCGGCGCTGCGCAGCGCGCACTGCATCGAGCCCTTCCCGCTCCGCCTCTTCGTTAACCCGGTGCTTCGCGTCGTGGACGCGCGGCTCGTCACCGGCCGCGAGGGCTGCGCCAGCATCCGCGGCTTCTCTGCCTACGTCCCGCGCCATTGGGCCGTCAGTGTGTCGGGTACGCACCCCACAGCCCTGCCTGCACCCCCGGCGTCCGCCCAGCGCCGTGGTTGCTCCCTGACCGCTGCTCTCTGGTAGCAGGGGTGGACGAGCGCGGGGAGCCGGTGAGCTGGGAGGCAAAGGGCTGGGCCGCCCGTGTTGTCCAGCATGAGATGGACCACCTGGATGGCATCCTCTACATCGACCGCATGGACACACGCACCTTCGCCAATATCAGCTGGATGGAGCTGATGGACTGACGCCTTCGGGCCTCATCCCACTGGAGAAGAGCTGCAGCGGGGCCCCGCACCGGACACTGGCCAGAGGGGCATCACGGCACTGCATGGGCTCCTACTCACCATTACTACAGCCAAAATACACACTGTGAAGCCTCAGCCTGGCTCCTGGCCCTTCCTGCTCCTGGGTTGGGGGTGAGACAGGGGTTCAGCCCTCATTGTTCTGACTCCTGTAGTCATCCTATGAGTCTAGGAACCAGCACCACTCCAGCACCACTGCCAGGGCTGTACTGGAAGAGGGAACCCCTTTTCCAAGGCTTGTTTGTGGTCTGGGGTGAAGCTGGGGATGGGACGTGCAGTTTGGGTGAGAGGGGGGGGAGGCAAGCTGGCAGGAGCCCTTGTGGCTCTTCCCTTGGCTGGGGGCTGCTCTCAGAGGGGGCAGAGCACTACACTCTGCCTGGGAACAGGCAGCAGCTCCCAGCGGCTCCTGCCTGCACATAGCAGTTGCACAGGCAGTGTGTTACTGGGTGGAATTGAGGGGCCAAGCTGACCCCTGCCAGTGCAGTCAGATCCTCATGGAAGGGACCAGGCACCACCTGAAGCTTTTGAATTGTTTTTATTTTCATATAAACAAGACAGAACCCAAAGCAGCATTAATTTAAAAAATAAAAAAGAGCAGGAAGAAGAGTGGGGTGCAGCCAGGGGGGGCAATCAGCTCCCAGGTCGTGCCCAGATACCCTCCATCCCCCCCACCCCGGGCCATCCATCCGGGCCCCACCAGGTGCTGCAGTGCAATTGGGTGAGCGGTGAGCAGAAGATGAACCTGTTTGGCACAGGCAGCAGGGAAAGGGCCACCCCAGCCCCACGCCCTACCCACCCCTCAGCCTTCCTGTCCGAAGTCCTCTGTGAATTTCTTCACCTTCAGCAGATCGTCAGTGTTCACGGTGGGGCGGGTGGTGGCCAGTGAGCGCAGCATGTCCGACTGCAACACAGGCAGCTGCGAGCTGGCACAGGGTAGGGACCCCCCCCTCAAGCAATGCAGGCAGCTCTGCCCACCCAGCGGGCTGTCATGGGCCCCAGTGTCCCAAGGGGTTCCTGCAAGCAGAAGGGCCCCCTAACACTCCCCAGCCCTGCCCAACCCTTGGCCTGGGGACAGAGATACTGGAGGAGGAACAGGGATGTGGCAGGGCACTGCTGGCCTGCACCAGCCTCCATGCACCGGGATGGGTGCCTGGCACTGCGGCAGTGACCACACTCACCATACAGACCATTGGCTCCATTAGCTTGTCACTGGGCACCTCCATCCAGGTCATCTCAGTGGCTCCCGGGTCGCCAGGCGAGCACGGCATCAGGAGGTCATCCACAAAGGTGCCAGGGCTGGTGCGGGAGGGACCACGGACCTGCAGCAGAGCGGCAGGGTGGGATGGTGGCCACAGCACCAGCACCAGTTATGGGGCTCCCCCACCACCCCAGGACAGGCCCCCCAAGCCAGGAGCTGTCCCCACTCACCTTCTTGAAGTGTGTGGCCGACTGCACCTTGCGTACAGGCTGCATCAGGGCATCCCGCACGATAATGCTGATGTCAGCCCCTGAGTAGCCATCAGTCTTGTGGGCCAGCTCCTGGATATTGGCCTCGGTCAGGCTGTGTGGGGTGTTGCCAAGGTGCAGCTTGAACATCTGGGCCCGTGCTGCCTCCTCGGGCAGCGGGATGTAGATGCGCTTCTCAAACCTATGAGCAGTGCAGGCAGGGGGTGAGCCCCATGCTGCCAGACCCTGCCAGGACTGTGGGTCTGGAGCTAGGAGGCTGCCGGGTCCTGCTCACCTTCTCCTGATGGCAGAGTCCAGCACCCAGGGGATGTTGGTGGCACCCAGCACCAGGATCCCATCGCTGCTGTTCCCTACACCTGCACAGGAATGCAGTACAGATGGCTCAGTGTGATCCCCAAGGAAAGACATGCGTGATACAGGCATCTGGCAGTTTTCCTGTGCCTGCCTGTCCATCCCGCTCCCTCCTTTCCCTGTTTTCTCCCCACACACACCCTGCATCTGCACCAGGAATTCTGTCTTGATGCGCCGGGCCGCCTCACTCTCATTCTCATTGCGCGAGCCGCACAGTGAGTCCACCTCATCAATGAAGATGATGGAGGGCTTGTGCTGCCTTGCCAGCTCAAAGAGATTCTTCACCAGCCTGGGAACAAAGAAAGCAAGGGATGGGGTTCCCCACCAGGAACCCTGCACAGCACCAAAGACACCCAGCGCCTGTGACAGCCGCAGGTCAGGAGCCCCAAACTCCTCCAGCCCACCCTGCGAAGCCCGTGCTGACAACAAGGCAAGCATCATGCTGGGAGAAGGACCATGATCCCCTGTGGAGCTCTGTGAGTGCCCACGCTCTCCCATGGGACCCACTGTCTGCATTAACAGGGCCCCAGCCAAGCTCTGGTGGGGAGCCCAGGAGCCAGCCCACAGCAGCCACACATCCTTGCTGCCAGCTTACTTCTCACTCTCTCCCAGCCACTTTGACATCAGGTCAGAGGACGAAACGGAGAAGAAGGTAGAGTTGTTGGCCTCAGTGGCCACGGCCTTGGCCAAGTAGGACTTGCCAGTGCCAGGGGGGCCGAAGAGCAGGATCCCTCGCCAGGGTGTGCGCTTCCCTGCGACAGAGGCCAGTGTCACAGCTCCCCTGTCCCTGCGCAGGCCAGATCCGTGTGGGCTCACAGGGACACACGTTCCTGTGCTTGGGGTCACATCCCAGCACACGCTTGCCCCACCTGCTGCCCCATGGCACCTCCTCCATGGGCAAGCAGCAGCCGTGGCGCTGCCGTGCCTCTCACCAGTAAACAAGTGTGGGAACTTGATGGGCAGGATCACAGCCTCCTTCAGGGCTTCCTTGGCTCCCTCCAAGCCAGCCACATCACTCCACCGCACGTTAGGCTTATCCATCATGATGGCACCTGTGAGAAGGCAGCTCTGCCCATGCAGCCCCACAGAGACAGGCCAGTACGCTCCCAGAATCTACCAAAAGCCGGGACAGCCGGAGCCCTCATCCCTCCCTAGCACTCTGCTCCACCAAACCCTTCCACTCACACCAACCCCACCATCCCTTGGCACAGAGGCTGGTTCCGGGGTTACCAGACCCCCAGCAACACACCCCTGGTCCCCAGTCCCACAGCCTGCCTCCCTCCCCACAGCCACCCCTTGCAGTGGCCCTTCAGGAACCCCTCTGCTGACCCTGCAGCCACCATCAGGACCGTACCCACTGTGCCCAGCACAGCCCCTCACCCATCAGCTGCTCCTGCAGCATTTTCTTCTCCGGGTTCTCGCCCTCGCTGTCACTGTCACTCCTGGGGAGAGGGTACATGGGGTCAGGAGCGGGACTGGCCCCAGTGTGGTCGGTCGGGGGGGGGGGGGCCCAGCACCTCCACACACCCCTTGGTGTCATTCTGGGCCTCCTTGACCGGCTTCTTGCCGTGCTTGTCCTTGCTCCGCAGGTAGTCCTTCAGCTTCTCCGCCCGGTCCAGGTACTGCACGCACTTGGCTCGGATGCTCTCCTTCGCCTTGTCGCTGTGAGCCTCATCTGGAGAGACCCACAGCCGTCACCCGCGGCCCCGCTCCCGCCCCCCGGCCCCCCGGAGCCGCCGCCCTCACATTTGATGGCGTGCAGGAAGTACTCCACGGCGTGCTGGTACAGCCGCAGCGCCTCCTCGTAGTTCTTGGCCTTGTCCTCCTCCGTGGCTTTGGTGACCAGGTCGATGGCTTTCTGCCGGGGACGTGCGCAGCGCGGTGAGCCGGGCACCGGGCACGCACCGGCTCCTTCCCTCCGCCGGCGGACCGGCCCTGCTCGCGGCCCACAGCGGCCGGGGGGACGGGAGCCTCCTTCCTCCGCCCCCCCGCCACCACCACCACCACCACCACGGGCAGGATGAGGTCGCCCCGGTGGGGCCCGGCACCGAGCGCGGAGCGAGGCCTTCCCCCGCCGGCTGCGCACCGGCAGCGGGGCGGGGCGAGGGCCCCCCCCCCGCGGGGCGGGCTGAGGAGCCGCTCCCCGGCCGGCGGGGCCCGGTCCTTGCCCCGGCAGCCCCCGTACCTGCAGGGTGGACGTTGTCATCTCATCGCCCGGGGTCGCCGCTGCTGGCGCGGCGCGGCCCTGCCCGGCGGCGGCGGAGCTGGGCCCGGGAGGGACCGCCCGCGACTGCGGCTCTGCGCGACAGCGCCCCCTGCCGGCGCACCTCCAGCGCGGGAGGGGCGGGGCCTCGCCCCCTCCGCGTTAAACCACGCCCCACAAGAAACCCCCCCCCCCCACCCCCCCCCCGCTCCGGCCCAGGGGCCGCGCACGCGCACTCAGAGCGCAGGCTCGCACTCGAGCGGAGAGCCCCAAGCTCCCGGGTCCGACCTGGCCTTGAGCACCCTCAGGTGCAGAAGCTCTCCCCTGTATCCAACCTGAACTTCCCCTGTTTCAGTTGGAACCCATCACCCCTTCTCCTGTCACTACAGTCCCTAATGTAGAGTCCCTCCCCAGCATCCCTATAGATCCCCTTCAGCTGCTATGAGGTCTCCACGCAGCCTTCTCTTCTCCAGGCTGAACAGCCCCAACTCTCTCAGCCTGTCTTCATACAGGAGGTGCTCCAGTCCCTGATCATCCTCGTGGCCTCCTCTGGACTTGTTCCAACAGTTCCATGTCCTTTTTATGTTGAGGACACCAGAACTGCACACAATGCTCCAGGTGAGGTCTCACGAGAGCAGAGTAGAGGGGCAGGATCACCTCCTTCGACCAAAAGGAGGTTACGCTCCTTTTGATGCAGCCCAGGATACGGTTGCTTTCTGGGCTGCGAGCGCACACTGAAGCCGGCTCATGTTCAGTTTCTCACTGACCAACACCCCCAAGTCCTTCTCCACAGGGCTGCTCTGAATCTCTTCTCTGCCCAACCTGTAGCTGTGCCTGGGATTGCTCCGACCCAGGTGTAGGACCTTGCACTTGGCATGGTTAAACTTCATGAGGTTGGCATCAGCCCACCTCACAAGCGTGTCACTCTGAATCCCATCTCTTCCCTTCAGCATGTTGACCACAACACATGGATGCACAAACGCACACGTGTGCACCCCGGGCACGTGCTTGCACCTACAGACAGCCCAACATGGATACGCATCCCCCCCTTTTCAC